TTTGCTTGAAAGGGGCTTCTTATGAATATTAAAAGATACTCCTCTCACACCTATCACTCAGAAAATTCCAAGGATTTTAGAAACTCCTCTGTCAGGAACTGGGGACAAAGACTATGTATATATTTATTATATCACAATATTCCACTTCCTTAATGTGGCTAACCTCCAATCAATTGAAGATCTGAATAGAACAAAAGGCTGATCCTTCTGTGAGTGAGTAGGAATTGCTCCTGCCTGACTTCTTTGAGCTGGGACATAAGTTTTCTTGACCTTCAGACTCAAACTGAAACATTGGTGCTTCATGAGTCTTCAGTCTGCTGACTTTTGGACTGGAACTTACACCCCTGGCTCCTTTGAGTCTCTAGCTTGATGGCTCGTCGAGTGCAGATGGTGGGACTTCTCAGCCTCAGCCTCCATAATTGTGTGAGCCAATTCTCTATAATAAATCTCTTAATATATATATATGTGTGTGTGTGTGTATATATGTATATACACACACACACACATATATATGGCACTAAGGAGGAAGGATAAAGAATTCTATATGGTCATAAGTTCTACAATCCATTTAAAATGGTAAAAAGTAGGCTCTAGACTGTGATAAGTATGTATAGTATAATCCCTAGAGAATCCCTTAAAAATATATACAAAAGAATAAACTAAAAATATGATAGATATATCAAAATGAAATACTAAGACATGCTTAAGTAATTTAATAAAGTAGGAAAGAAAAAACAATGGAACAAATACAAAGGGAACAAATGTAATTCAAATAATAAAAGGGTAGACCTAAGTCCAAACATAGTTATATTAAGTGTAAATGGTCTAAATACACCAATTAAAAAAGAGGTTGTCAGAACATATTGAAAAACCATGACCCAACTGTATGCTATCTACAAGAAACTCACTTCAAATATAATGATATAAGTACATTAAAAATAAAAAGATTACCTATCTATCTATCTATCTATCTATCTATCTATCTATCTATCTATCTATCTATCATCTAGCTAGCTAGCTAGCAAGCAAACACTAATCCAAAGAAAACTGGAGTGGCTCTATTAACATCAGACCAAATAGACCTCAGAACAAAGAAAATTACTAAGAATAAAGTGGGACATTACACAATGGTAAAAGGGTTAATTCATAAAGAAGGCAAATCTGAAATGTGTGTGCATCTAACAACAGAGCTTCAAAATACACAAATCAAAAACTGACAGACTTCAAAGAAAAAACAGACAAACTCATAATTACAGTTGACAACTACAATATTCCTCTCTGAGAAATTGATAAAACTAGTAGACAGAAAAACAGCAAGGATATAGAAAAACTAATTTTGACCAACTGGGTCAAAAGATACTCTTATCAGTAGGAGAAAGGTTGAATAAACTATATAATATAATATAACAAATAATATTCATAACCAGGGTTGCCACATACTATACAACTCCAGGTGCCCTGGCACAGAAATTATATATATTATTATAAATAAAGTTGTGTGATGCATAAACTGCTCAATGGTATGTAGTGGTCCTGCCCACAGTTCAGAATACTATAGGGATCCTTTAAGGATAATAAATTGGCTCATTTGAAGGTATTTTCACTATTTTCAAAGAAGAAAAGCAACATAAAAAGAGCATACGTAATATGGTTCAACTTTTATAAAATAGGAACATATATACATATATATGTATACATATATAATATGTATGTATACATATATAATATGTATGTATACATATATATACACATATTATATACGTATGTAGGTATGTTTGAGAATGTTAAGTGGAAGGATACATACTTGGTTAGTAAGGAAGTGGGTAGGTGAACAGTATGGATGGAGGAAGGGAAAACAGTGGGACAGGGACCCGAGCCAAAAAAGGAAAAGAAAAATAAAACCTGTGCTGAAGAAATATATCACATTTACATACTTATATGGAATAGTATCTGTAAAAATAATTTTAATTTCAAATATAAAAAAAGAAAAATATTTTATCCAATTATTCAAAACCTTTCAATGATTTGTTATTGTACTTTAAATAAAATCTGAATTTTTTACCATGACCTGTGTGATCTGGTCCTTACCTACCTCCAAACTTATTTGCTTTTACCGTCCCCTTCCCATGTTAAGTATCTTTCTGGACTCAAGGACTTCACAATTGCAGTTTCCTCTGCCTGAATGTTCTTGCCAAGATCTTTGCACGACTGGCTTCCTCTCCTCTGCGAAGCCACAGATGTCTACCCAATAAGCCTTCCTCACCAATAGGATGCTGAATTTATTGGGAGATCAATATGTCCATTTAAAATACTTGAAGTCTCAGCCTCCCTAGTGGTGAGGACTGATACAATTTTGGCCAATGAAATATTAGTGCAAGTTACTGGGCATGGCCTCCTGGGAAGCTTTTTAAAAGACCTGAACTAGCTGCATCTAACTTCCCCTTCCCTTTGTGCATTTTCTTGCTATGAAAATCATTGTGAGGCTAGAGTGGCAGTTCTCAAAGTGTGCTCCTCAGGTCAGCAACCTCAGCATCACCTGGAAACTTGTTAAAATGCAAATTGTGGGGCCCCGCCCCGGTCCCGCTGAAACAGAAACTCTGAGGTAGGGCCCAGAAATCCATTTTTCAAGAAGCTGTTCAGGTTATTCTTACACTGAAGTTTGAGAGCCACTGAGCTAGTGGATAGAAGCATCCTTAGAGATGGCCAAGAAGATGGATGAAGACCAGTGCACCAATTACATCATAGAGCCACTGTGCCAACATGGACTGCCTGCCTCTGGGCTTGGCAGTTATGTGAAAAAGTAATCCCTATTTGGTTAAGTTACTGTGGTTAGGTTTCTGTAACGTGCAACTGAAAGCAATTCTAACTGATAAATCTTTTAAACCTCAAACCTTATCTCATTAGGGAGGACTTCCCTAACTATTCTTCTTGCATCTTCCATCCCCACAAAAGTCCCTCTCTATTATGCCATCAGGTATGTTTCCTTTATAGGACTCATCACACCCTGAAATTATATCACTTACTTATCATTTATTTGCTTATGGTCTGTTTCCCCTGTAAGAATGGAAGCTTCACAGGAATAGAACCTTTGTCTTTTCACTGCTGTACACTACATGTTGAAGTGTCTGGTACATAATGGACACTCCATAACTATTTTTTGAATGATTTAAAGAACTTTTAAGTATATGTACATTTAAAATATTGTATTTTTAAAACAGTCAAGTAAAAAAACGGTTCATACAGACAATTTCAAATTTTCAGGAAACAATTTTAGTTGAGAAACACAAACATATGTTTAAAGAAATGCATACAATACAAAAATTTAATCCATGCTTGCTATAAACACTTTCTGTGTCACTCTTTAGTGGCCTGTCAATTCTAAAACCATAAACAACTAATGAAACAGCTATATAAATATTCAAGTTCTATAGAAATGAACTGTATGAATCATTATTTCTTTGGCAACCTCATCTTTCTAGAGACATCATTTTGTGCTATCCCAATCAATGTGGAAAACTTGTTAATAGAAAAACTTCATATAGCACTTAAACAGAAACATTCAAATAAAAATGGAAATTAAGATCAGTATTCTTATGCATGCTAGAAAACACTCACAATTAGGTTTTAACCTTGAAGAAAAAACATTCTCTTCACCCACACCCTCCTTATTTTCACTTTTTTAATTATCTAAAGTTTGGTGTAAGGCTAACATCACTGCAACTGAATGAGTTCTACAGCACTAACCCATGCTGGCATACCGGGGAGCAGACTAGATTGAGGCCTCCCTGGGGATGAATCTGGAGTCTCTGCTCTGTCTTGCTGGAGTGACCAAGAAGATGATGTACTCCTGCCAACAGGAGAGGTAAATTTTCTTTTTCTTACTTTTACCACATATAAAACTACTCTCATCAACCTCTGGAAATGTGCATCCTTTGATTTTAAAAAAAAGTTGTTATTTAACATTTAAGTAAACTATATAAATACTTTTCTCAGTGAAGCACAGAACCATCAAATACAAGAAAGGGCAGCGCTTCTAACTTACATCCCTGTCCACTCTCTTACGGGGCTCCTAGGATCTAGATGGGGCTTCTCAGGGCCACCACTGGGAAAGAAAGTAGCACAAAAGTGCCAGAGGCAGAATGATGGGCTGCTCACTATGGTAGAAAGAAGCCCTAAGATTAAGCAAGACCATATTCTGCCTTTCTCACAGAATCAGGAAAGCATATTAGATAGTTTCCTGAGAGTCACTTCCAAATACTCAGAGCTGAAAGGACTTTAGGTCAGTGGCATCCCAAATGAACTTTTGAGAAACTCCCAGAAGCTGACCTCAGCCCTCAGCCCAATGTGGCAGATTTGCCTTTTATTCCTAACTAGTGAAGTAATCTTTTATCTTATGAGAAGCAATAACCTTAGGTTTCTATTTGAATAACTTTTACCTGGGATTGCATCAGAACCAGCATCAAACGTACTAGCCTCTCTTAAGTAATGATAACATTCTATAAGGCAGACTTCTCACTCTTAAAAGGCCATTAGAATCACCTGGGGAGCTTGTTTAAAATAATGTAGGGTCTAGAGCTCCACTTGCAGAGGTTCTGATTCAGTAGGTCTTGGGTGGGGTGTGGGAATCTGCATTTTCAACAAGGTTTTCCAGGTGCTTTTGATGGAGTGATGTGAGGCCCACAATTTGAGTCAACACTGGCTTCAGAGGGAGAGGCCAGAATTGTTTCTTTCCCAAAATAAGACCTTCTATAGACATGACCCAAGGCTGCCAGACCACCCAAAGGATTTTCCTTGAGGAGTCTCTGGTGAGGAGGTCATCTAGATTTGTCCTCAAAGACTCAGTCTCCATGGGGCCCAACTCTGTAAGTGAAACAATAATTGGGCTCACACTTGGCTGGACCTGAGGGTAAGTATCAAAATCTCAAAGTACCAGAAAAGTTTTGATTGCCTTTGGTCTGGGAGTCCATAACACAGTCTTTTTCCTTTTCCCTTCTTCCTTTTCACTGATGTTGAGCTAAGGAAGCCAAATAGACCCACACAGATAAAATGTTGTTTGGGTATGGGTGAATGTATACAGCTAGAGCAAATTCTGTCTGAGGAAATTCAGAAGAGTGAATTCCGGTTTGATACACGGCATCAATAACTGACTGTACATCAGTGTATGGCATCTGGATAGGAAATCCTGTGACCTGGATGAAAGACAGAATAACATGTAAACCCATGCCACAGTCATGTTGGTCACTGGGAATTACTGTATGCAAAACATTACAGAAATCCAAAGAAATGATAGTCATACAATAATAGTAATGATTTCATAGGTGCTTACTGTGTTTTAGGTACAGTGAGAAGTGCTTCATCTACATATTTAATCCTCAAATAACCTTAGAAGGTAGGTTCTACTATAAGCCCCACTTTATGAGAGGGAAGAGCAGAGCCAGTTCTGTCTGCTGCCAGAGCCTGCACACTTCACATTCCACATGTTTGCACCCCCTTTCTAGAACAGCAAATTGCCAATAAGGAAATTACTTGGTCCTACAAATGGGGGATGTAAGTGAACATTTTGGAGAAATTTATTTGGAGAAACACTGACCTAGTTTAAGTGACAACTATGTAAAAGGGTCAAAGGATTATGGAATATATATCTACTTAATATTACACAAATGGCAATCATAAACCTCTTCAAGCCTTAGATTGCTTACTTCAGGAGGCTTTTCCTGATCCTTAAATCTGTTCATGTGCTCTTCCCATGTGGTTGCATGGGACACTGTCCTTCCCTAACTTACTTATTAATAAAATGTATTACAATTACATGTTTTCTGGTTTGTCTCTCTAATAGTCCATAGTCTCTGTGAATGCACAAGATTGTATCTCTCTTGTTTATGCCATAACTCCATTGTTATGACAGTACATGCCTGGAACATTGAATATAAATAATAGTTAATATCTACTAAACACTTGTTAGGTGCCAAGAGTTCTGGTAGGTATTAGGTCACTTAATCCTCACCAAAACCACAAAACCAGTACCTACTTTTATGTGTCCAATGGGGTAGAAAATATGGAGAAGTTAGGTAACTTGGTCAAAACTTGTGAGTGGTTGAACCAGGATGTGAACCCAAGCTTCAGGATTCAGCCCAGATACATGAGTATGTGTTATTAAACAGGTAATTTTACAAAGGAACTCCAAGTTTTAAGCCTTGGCTTATATTTAACTGTGTTTTGCGTATCTGTTTAGTCCCTAATTCCATTAAAAAGAAAGCAAAACAAAACAACTTCCTCCCTAGTCATGAATGAATAGTGCCTTCAGATCCCTCCCTGGCAGCCTAAGTACTCAACTCCCAACAGATTCCTTCCTTTCTTCTCTCAGAGGGTTTCCCTAGGAGATATAGTCTGGTCTGTGGAATGGTAGGAGGGAAGAAATTTTACTCTTAGGATGCTGGGGCTTTCGAAAACCTATAGGACAGTTCATAGGGAAGAGTCGATGAGAGGATGTCCATTGGTAGGGGTAGGGTAGGGGAAGAGGAGGAGGATCCTAACCATATACCAAATGCCCACCATGTTTGGTATGGAGTTGTTGAGTTTGAAATGCTTTTTGACTATCTGACATGCTGTCAAATGTGTTGTTGAATATATAAGAGGGTCAGGAGAGAAGTCCAGGCTGTATGTACAAATTTTAAAGTACTTTGCATATAGAAGATATTAAAGCTTGCCTGCAGTCCTGTCGCCCAGAACCAAGGACATAGAACCCATTCTATTACTACCACTAGACATCATTTCTCTAGTTTTTTAGTTGCAGGTGGTTTCCTTTTGGGCACCTCTTTCCAAAGTTTGTGGTTTATACATCATCACATATACAACTGATATCAAGGAAATGTCATGCAATGTGGTCATGGTAATAGTTGTTCAGTATATTTGAAATTTCTTAGTCTATAAGTAAATGTATTTTAATGTCATAGCATCTAAAGTCTAGCATCAAGATAAAAAACATTTCAGGGAGTTAAGATAACTATTACCTAGCAATTAACAACATAGATAAAACAAATGTCATTAATGCATTAAATTACATACAAACCCAATAAACTTGTTGTAGTCTTTCAAATTCACTCTCTTCTTCAGATGAAACAAAGCTTCCCATGCTAAGTTCTAGTTTAGGAAGGATTTTTCTCAAAATAAAAGAACATTGTCGATTCCAGCGTGTTGGCTGTTTAGGTCGCCATTCCATCATTTTACATTTCAGACTCCTTTCAATCCTAAAATAAGAATGCAAAGATGATATCATGACAAATTACAACTCATTTTATAAATGCTATGAGTTCTGTCACTTTTGCTCAAGTATGAGAATGGTATATTTTTTTTTATTTAAGAGGAAGCAGACCTCAATGACTAGGGATATTTGCCATCATTCACATTTATCAAGTTGGGGAGAAACATGCTCTTGTTTGGCTTGGGAAAGCAGGAAGCTTCCTAGGGTAGCAAGCAATTAGTTCACAAAGGCACATCTCTTTCCCTGTGTGCAGGCAGCTGCCTACAGGGTGTGATTTAACAACACATACCATCTGATTACTAGGCTGACATTCTCCAAGGCCCTCCATTGACATTAAGACACTGCGTTTCCAAGAAAACGCATTTACAAAAATTCAGACATCTGCTCTGGGATTATGTTAGTAGGGAAGGGTTTATTAGGTCAGTTAATTCAGCAAATAGAAAGAAATAAGGCACAAACTGGTAAGTATGATGATCAGGTTCCCCTACTAGAACGTATGCTCCATAAGGGCAGGGATTTGTGGCTGTGTATCTAGTGCCTAGAACACTGCCTGGTGATGGATGAACTGTTCCAGGAATGGGAGAGAAGTGGAGCACAATGGGGGTTGGTTGATGGGGGCCTCCTGGAAAGCTTCTTCTCTATGCAGAAGCAGTATATGCTGCAGAAGAAACCCCTGGAAATCCTCTTGAGCCCATAGTGTAACTGAGCAGTTTGGGGTTTGCAGAGAGACTTAGTAGCTATACATTACCTGTAAGTAATGAGAATTACCAGTAGGGCTTTATCAAAATGTTTCACCTCTAGATATTGATTCAACAGGTTCGATCTGGGACCCTGGCACCTATATTTTTAAATAGTTTTAGAAGCGATTCTGATGAAAATCAGAAATTGGGAACTATGTTCCTACTGCATTTCTTCCTTTTTTGTTTGTGACCCTTTGGGCTTCACCAAACAACTCCTTAGGGCACTTGTATATGTGTGTTTGGGAGAGGTGGGTGTGCCTAGGAGGGACACTACCACCCAACCTGGATGTGTTCACCATACTCCCAAGTTGTTGGCCATTTACCTTCATATTCTCTCAAGAACTATGAGCTACTATATTATTATTACTATAGGCTCCACAGGTGTCTGTGTTGAGAACTTCCCTAAAGTAGCCCACAATGTTTGGCAGAGGTAACCATTTTTTGATTTAGTTTGTCTTGTCTAGGAGTGTCCTGGATGGCAGAGGGGTTGCTTTTTGATGCATGTACCAAGAGACAGATGGCTCAGTGGAAGAAACTATTGTAATCCTTACTTTGTGCTTCTATAGCTGCATCTAATCGGTAGGTATTTTTGAGACACTGCACTGGATGTCTGAATGGTGGCTGACCAAGAGATTAGGGAGAAATCATGGCAATCATAACATATGAATAAAGATCATACCTGTTCGTTAGATCTCCCACCATGCTTTTATTCGTCTCTGAATAAATTATTTCCTCAGGCTGAAATATATAGACAACTGAATGTTAGAAATGATTCTAGGAAGACCATCTTTACATCACAGTCACTCATGGAGTGCTAATTATAATGGGGGGACCCAAACCATTCTCATGTGGCAAAAACACTCAATTACACAGCACAAAGGGAAAACACAGATCACAGTGTTTCCTCTGATTTTAATACTGATTCACCATAGAATGGGAGGGGGAATGGATTTCCAAAAGATACCTTTCGTGGTTAAGACAGATCTGCTGCTGCATTCATTTATTCAAGCAAGCATTTCATGTGCTTATTGATTCTACCAGGTTATCTTTGGCAGCTGCATCAGTCTCTTCCACTTATTAATTGTGACCTTGGTGAAGTTACTTAAACCTCTCTGAGTCTCAGTTACTACAAGAGGGACAATAATAGTATCTATTTCTCTGGGGTTTTCTGAAGTTTTTAAAATAAAGTAATACATGTAAAGTCTGGCACATGTTGCTCAATAAACATCAGATATTATTATACTCTTCTAAAATAGTTTATCATTTTCCATCTTTGAGAATTCTTTTCTTTCAGCTGGCAGGAGCCAAGTGTTTGTTTATGAATGCACACACAGAGTCCATTTCAATGTCCACTGTCTCCAAGCCTATGTTTCCGCCACCACACCAACAGTGCAGAGCAGTGTTCAACCACATTCTTCCAACCCCAAGCAGAATTTTCTCAGTAGAGGGAGGGACTTAAGTTCATCGCCTAAACAAGCCCTTCCCTCTCTGCAGGGCCCCATCTTTCAGGTAATGATCTAAGCCAGTGGTTCCCAAAGTGAGGTCCCCAGACCAGCAACCTCAGACCTGGGAACTTGTCAGAGAAACAACTTCTCGACCCCCACCTCAGACCCACTGAATCAGAAACTGTGGGTATAAGGTTCAGCAATCTGTGTTTCTACAAGCCTTCCAGGTGGGTCTGATGCCTGCCTCGGTTGGAGAAATATTAGATTATCATCACAGGTAGGAGGAGCTTCCCCACAACAGAGCCTGGCAGGTGGTGAGAGATAGTGGAGAAAGGGAACTGTGAATTCAATGTTATCTTGCAGGATCTACCAACATCCCAGACGGGACAGGTAGACTGAATTTCTTGATTGCTGTTACCAACCACTGTTGCCCCTCCAATGCCACCCCTCCCCCGTCCACCTTCCCTTCCCTCCTGTGCTCCATCTCCCATCCTGGCAACTCTTGTGGATTAATTAGGCCACTTTCAGTCCTTGAAAAGAGGTCTAATTATGTTGACTCTATAAGTGTATGGGGTATAAGTTCACTTTTTTTTCCCTGGCAAAGGCCCTTTTCTTTCAGGGAATTCATATCTTTTAAAACTTCAGTTAACTCATCTCTGAATATGCACATTCTTTTTTTTTTAAATATCCCCTGTGCAGAGACTTGGGTTGATTACTTAACCTGTCTTTGTTATATCAAAGTACGGATTAATGTCCAGGGGCAGCTAGCTGTAAAGACTACTCTTTCAAACAATTTTAACTCCAAATTTTTCTCATTTAGTAACCAGACAGAACAAAGACTAAGAAGATGCTGACTTACAAAACCAAGTGCAAGACTAAAAGTCAGGAGTTCATGCACTATGAAAGCAAAACAGAAAGCACTCATCTATGCATGCTCTTATCCAGTGCAATGAGCAACCTACCCTTCTCTTAGCTCAGTTTATTGGTTTTAAGTTGTCAAGTTTCGCCTTGACCAGGATCATTGTGCTGGATGTTATGTCCTCAAACAACAGGCTAACCATTTTTAAAAACAGAAGGTATGATCACTGAATACCCACATTCTTATCATACACACCCAAACTAGTGTTCTCAGTTGTGATAAAAAACAGTGTTCAGTATAGAGTGTGATTTATTTTGGGATGTGTGTGGTAAGGCAGAAGACTGAGGGCCATTAACCCACAGGAAAGATATAAGATAATTGCTATGAGTTTTATATTTATAGATACAAGTTGGCAAAAGGTTAATTTCCACTCTAAGCCAGAGAGGCTTTTAAAAACACATGGGGCAGCCCATGCCTTGGTGGTCTTGGCTTCTGACTGTCCTGAGGATAAAGGTCCAAATCCTTAGCAGGACTCTGCTCACCTCAGAGCTCATTTTTGCTCACTCATTGGCAACAGCCAAGCTGGTCTTTCAGCTGCTTGGCAGATATTTATCTCCAGTCTTCATGCCTGCTGCTACCACTCTACGGTGGGACTGCTCCCTCCCCCATTTTCATCTAGGGCAGAACCTGCTCACCCTTCCTTACTCTGCTGGTCATCACTTTTTTTCAGAAAGCCCAGCAACTTCCCTTCCTCTCAGGTCCTCCTGCTGTGTGCTCTGCAGAGCATATTAATTTCCTCTGTAGTAGCATTTCTCACTCTGTAGGTACTATTCCTATTCCTTGACTCCTTCTGTTTTTTCCTCTAGAACACTAGTGCCAGGAATACCGAGACCATGTCTTTTTCCTTGTGGTACCAATACCTAACAGTGCTGGCTCATAACAGGCACTCAATAAACATTACCTGAATGAATAATAACAAGCTTAATAATAAATAAAAATCCTCATTCCTAAATATATAATTCTTTCCCTAGGAGGCAGCATGTGACAGTCACAACTTAGGGACTGGAAAAGCAAGGCATGCCCTCTGGATGCTGTCAATGTGGTTTGCTCAAAGAGATAAGCACATTTCCCCTTCTTTAAAATGACTTCACAAACAGGAAATACAGCGAGAAATACACATGCTTGCATCTGCTTGGAGAATGTTTAGAAGGATGCACAAGAAATTACTGGTAGTGGTTATTTCTTAGGGTGGAAAAGAAGATGCTGAAGAGGAAAGAAACTATTTATACACTTTGGCGCAGCTTGGTTCCCCCCACCCCTGCCAACCACCAAACATTCTTTTTTGACATTGTGAACAGCCTCAAATATCTGAAAAGCATAGAGTAATGTGACAAACATCCACCCAGCATACCTGTAGCTTAGCTGTATCGAATCTTTGCATTCGTCCATATTTTAAAACAAATATGGTTTGTTTTTTTAAATATGGTTTTTTCAAATGTGTTCTTTTTTTTAAAAGAAGTAAAACATTACAGATGGACTTGAAGTACTGGTTATACTGCTCCCTGGTCTCACTCCCTTTTTTCTCTCCCCTAAGGTAATCTTTAAGCTAAATTTGGTATTTATCCTTCCTATGAATGCTTATATACTATTACTATATATCTATATATACATAAACAACACATAGTTCTCAGATTTCACATAAATGGTTTTATTACTATATATGTTATTCCACATTTTCTTCATTTTGCTTACTACTACATTTTTTATAATAGCCCATGTTGATATGCATGGTTCTAGATCCGTGGTTCTCAACCTAGGCTGCACAGTGGAATCACCAGGAGAGCTTTAAATAATACAATTGTGTGGGTTCCACCCTCAGAGATTCTAACATTATAAATGTATGTCGAATTGAGGAATGCTGTAATTTGGCTCATGCATTTTTTTAATGTTGTACAGAAGATTTCATAGTTTGAAGATTTCACAACTCATGACTCTTATATTCATTTTCTGGTTGATGATTTTTTCTTTTTTTTTTTTCTCTTTTAAGCAATTCTACAATGAACATTGTTGTCCTTGTCTCCCTGTGTAAAGTCCTCTAGGGTATATACTCAGCAGTTGAATCGGTGGATCAAAGGTCGAGCATCTTCAACTTTACCAGATATCATCATATGGTTTTCCAAAGTGTTCATAGCAATTTATACTCTCACCATTTCTCTGCCTCTTTGCCAACACTTGGTATGATTGTCCCTTTTTTTTTTTTTTGTCAATCTTAGGCATGTGAAATAGTGTTTTGTTGTTTTAAATTGTATTTCTCTAATTATGAGCAAGATTGAGCATTCAAAGTTTCTGCTTATAAGAACTGTCTTCTGTTTTTCTATTATTCTTTTTCTCTCTCTCATATCCTCTCTCCCTCTTTCTCTCTGGGCTCATAGCTCCTAATTTATGGATTTTGCAATTGCCTGCATCTCCCATCACATCATGGCACTATGGCCCTCAGTCCAGAAACAGCTGTTCCAGATGGAGTTTGGTGCACCCTCACTAAGCAATGCTCTGTGCATCACAGATCCACTGCACTGGCTGAGCAATCTGGTGATTAGGTTGGTTCCCATCTCAGGTCGGTTTTCAGTCTCTTCCCTCCTGAGCCCCAGGCAGTGAGTCTCCAGCTTTCCGTTCCCATCTTCTTTTAAGAGTAGTGAAGCAGGGGAGCCCTATCACAGTCTCTGGATTCAACTGGCTCTGGTTCCCTAGATTTCATGAAGCACTTCAGACCTTGCTCCCACCCCTATTTCCACTCCACTCACTGCTAGGATTTAGGTCCTGTTTCTATTTCTTGAGATAACTGTTATGGTTTAGAGCCCAGACAAGCCTTTTATTTTTTCAATTTTTATACTTTATCATTGCCATGGATATGGGTATAAACAACTATGTCAAAGTAATAACTTACTCTACCATCTTGACATTATACATTATGTTTTATAATAAATATTTAAAATTTTTACTTTAAAATCTAAATTTGCATTTAAGATGATAGCTTCTTTTCAATTCCTCTTTCCTACAAGAAGAGGAAAGGGATCAGAGAAGCCCAAACTTGGGCTGGGTAGCAGAGAAAACTAGATTTTATTAATATTTCCAAATAATTCAATAAGCAACTAGCTATGCAAGAGCTGTCACAATGTAAAGATTAGAACTAATGGTAACTCTCAAACAGACATATCTGGAAAAGTATGATCAATAAGCAACCAGCTATGCAAGAGCTGTCACAATGTAAAGATTAGAACTAATGGTAACTCTCAAACAGACATATCTGGAAAAGTATGATTTACCTGTATGCTTTGTGCTTTTGTCCCTTGAAAATTGTTTGGAAGCAATTGTTTCCAGAAACTTTCCTTTGAATAGTCAAAATGTACAGCCATTGGTGTATTATTTTGTTGAATATTAAACCAGATCTATTAAAACATAAATGTAAAATCAGTATAGGCCCATGGGAGCACAAAGCCCATGTTGGTTAGGATGGAGCAAAATTTTACAGTCTTATTACCCAGTGAAGTGGCAGAAGCCTCTGAGGTAGGAGATAAAGAGAGTCCAGTGGTATGTGACTGTTACAGTGCTCATTGGTTCTCAACCTTGGAGGCACTACAGAATCACCTGGGGGAGCTTTAGGGATAAAAGATTTCTCTGGATTCTATACCCCAAGGATTCTATTTGAAAATCTATATTAGTTTCAAAGTTCCCCACATGATTATATTGTACAGCCAGAGTAGAAGACCACTGGTTTGATTCATTAGGAAATAATGCAAAATAAGATTTCTTCCCCATATACTTACATTTCTATCATCAAACAAACAGTCTACACTTTGTAAGGGACAAAATGGGTCAAACTGTTTATGACATTTCCCAGTTAATGGATTCCAAAGCAAATATTCATCAGTTTCTTGAGCTAATACATAAGCCACTTGCCCCTGTATGAGAAAAGAAGTGTTAAAGTCATTTGTGGTGGGTGACAGATTTAACTTATTTTTGTATGTGGAAATTATAATGTAAGCACATAGTACCTTTGATTTCTAAGAGCCTTTTTTTAGGTCCTTTAAATTTCTTCTGTTTTGAAAAGGAAAAAGACCAAAGCTCCAGAAAATCCTCAGAACCAGGCTACCACGAGGGTTCAAAGGAGAGAACTTCTGAACCAGAGCTGCCATGCATGGTTCTCATGGCAAAAGCAGCATATTATGACAATTTTCCAACAGCCAGCATTAAAGTATTTTGAAGTAGGCACACTTTTGTCAAATTAACACAGTGGTGCTCCATGGCCTAGCCCACCTTTGGGTAGAATATACTTGGGAGACAGGGTGAACACAACACAGACTTAGGGAATTGAAATTTGTGTTAATGCTCTGAAAAAGCCAAGTAAAGTTAAAAAGCCAGTATATTAATATTGAGAACAAGATCTGGAATTAGTGGCTAGAGAGAAAGTACACAGGAAACCATCTGAGGAAAAAAGGCAGTCATTATTATTATGGTAGTTATTATTTAGCTCTCCAACTCCAAAGCTCTCACTTGTCATCACTGTGCTACTCTTACAGTAGAGGAGGCTTCACCAAGTGAAACACACAGCTGAGGACTGCACCCACCATGCTGAGACACACACACAGACACAAATGATTGTTGTAATGCTGTTGACTGTTTGCTGCCATCTGGTGACACTTAAACCTATAGTGGGGGATCGTATGGGAAAATTAACCACTGGCTTTTATTAGCTAACTAAGGTGACAGAAATAATCAGCTATGCCAAGGAACTGTAACAAAATAAGTGATCACAACAAAAACCACAAAACAAGACTGGAAAATTTTACCCTCATCAGGATATTCCTGGCAGAAATAGTAACAATCCAGAAGAAGATAACTTTCTGAAGGTATGAATGCAGGAGTATAGATTTAAGTTGTAAAAATTTCAGGTAGATAAACATAGACATCTTATATGGTTAAAAGATGAACAATGGAGGGAAGATTAAAGATGGCAGTGTGATAGGTGAGACAGAGGCCTCCTCACAAAACCACATTTAATACGAAAATATATTTACTACAGATAATCCTGAAAGAGCAACAGGAAAGAAGGCTGCGCCAGACAGCATACACCTGGAGAAGAGAATAGACCTCACAGAACAGGGTAATGTTCCAAAGCTGTGATCTGGCAGGTAGGTAACACCTACCCAGACCTCAGTTCACTGGCGGGAGAAAGAGAAATGGAGTGGGGAGGGAGTGGAGGCCTAGGATTGCTGAACACCTAGCCCTGGAGATCTGCTCTGGGAGCACGAACCTAGATTGGATGGTGCTCTGGAGATTAGTGGGGTTGGAAAGCTAAGACAGGTGGAATACCTGGAGAGACTGAGATTCCAGCCTCTCGTGGAAAACAGGGATCCACACCCAGCTGCTCTGGGACAAAAGAAAGGTGGTCAGTCTGAGAGACTTCCTAAAAGCAAGAGGGCTGCTAAAGGACCAAGGATTGCACAGAGCTTATGCTCAGGAGAAAGGACAGGTGGACAAAATTGTCTGGGTGCACACTGCCCAGCAGGTTGGGAAATTTCAGGAGCTACAGGCACTCCATCCCCCTGGCTGGCTATGCAACTCCAAGGCCCCCCACTGTGATAGGCAGCCTGCTGTGCCTTCTTCCCAGCCAGCCCATACTAGCTCACAAACCGGCAGCTACTGCCCTGGCATCAGGCCAGCCACAAGAAAGCCACACCTATGGCAGCTACAACAGCAAAGCATAGAGGCTTACACCTGTGTGCTCAGCCCATTGGTTCTGACAGTGAAGGCAGGCATAGCTGCCTGGAAGCAGGAAAGAGTGCTTTTCTCCCACCCCCGGCATCAGTGCTGCTCCCCCATGACCACTGACATTGCTCCAGGGCTGAGCAGCACCAGAGAGTAGAGCTTCTGGGCACTAGAGGGTGTCACATACAAATATGAAATGTCAAAGGAACCTGGTTCAAACCAAAATCACACAAACACCAGAAAAAGGATCAAGTGAAACTGAACTCATCAATCTTCCAGAAAGCAATTTCAAAGTAAAAATAAAAAAACATGCTTGGAGCTACAGAAAAATATTCAAGAACTCAGGGAATAATTCCAAATGGACATTCAATCATTATGGAATACAGTATCAGAAATGAAATATATAATGGAGGGATTCAAAAGCAGATTGGATATAGTAGAGGAGAGAGTAAATGGAATAGAAATTAGAGAACAGGAATACAAAGAAGCTGAGGCACAGAGAGAAAAAGGATCTCTAAGAATGAAAGAATATTGAGAGAACAGTGCAACAAATCCACACAAACAATATCTGCATTATAGGGATACCAGATGAAGAAGAGAGGTAAAAAGGGATAGCAAGTGTCTTTGAGGAGATAACTAATGAAAACTTCCCCAGTCTGGGGAAGGAGTCTCTCAGGCCATGGAGGTGCACAGATCCCCCCAATACAAGGGACCCAAGGAGGACAACACCAAGACATATATTAATTAAAATGGCAAAGATCAGGGATAAGGAGAGAGTATTAAAAGCAGCCAGAGAGGGGGAGAGCCAAGATGGCGGCATGAGTAGAGCAGCGGAAATCTCCTCCCAAAGCCACATATATTTTTGAAAATACAGCAAAGACAACTCTTCCTAAAAGAGAGACCAGAAGACACAGGACAACAGCCAGACCACATCCACACCTGCAAGAACCCAGCGCCTCATGAAGGGGGTAAGATACAAGCCCTGGCCCGGCAGGACCTGAGTGCCCCACACCCCAGCTCCTGGTGGGAGGAGAGGAGTCAGAGAGGGGAGGGAGAAGGAGCCAAGGACTGCTAAATAGCCAGCCCTAGCCATCCGCACCAGAGCACAGACACACAGTACAGAGGTGGGGTGCTGGAAACTAGGGAAACAGGACAGTAAGACCTGCGAGTGTATCCCCGCAGCCGGCACACCCAGGACAAAGTAAAGCGAATGCTTTTTGGAACTCTGAAAGGGACAGGGACCCCACAGCTGGATGGAAGTGTCCTGGGACACTTAGTCCAGCAGCAGGTAATCTGGGGTACTATGGGCACTCTAAACCCCTGGGCATCAGGGAGCACGGAGGCCCCTCAAGGAGATAAATAGCCTCCCTGCCATTCCCCCTTCAATGCAGCTCTACCATATCAGAGCAGGAGCCTGAGGCAGGCCACACCCACAGCAACAGTGGAGATAAACTCCATAGCAACCAGCAAGAATCAGAAGCCCTTTCTGCGTGCAGCCGCCCAGCACAAGCCACTAGAGGTCAATGTTCTCCCAGGAGAGGAAGCCCACAAACCAACAAGAAGGAAAGTTCTTCCAGCCATCACTCGTGCCAGCTCTGCAAACTATTTCTATCACCATGAAAAGGCAAAATTACAGGCAGACAAAGATAACAGACACAACACCAGAGAAGGAGACAGACCTAACCAGTCTTCCTGAAAAAGAATTCAAAATAAAAATCATAAACATGCTGACGGAGATGCAGAGAAATATACAAGAGCTAAGGGATGAAGTCTGGAGGGAGATTACAGACATCCGGAGGGAGATTACAGAAGCCAGGAAGGAGATTACAGAAGAGAAACAAACTCTGGAAGGATTTATAAGCAGAATGGACAAGATGCAAGAGGCCATTGATGGAAGAGAAAACAGAGAACAGGAACGCATAGAAGCTGACACAGAGAGAGATAAAAAGATCTCCAGGAATGAAACAATATTAAGAGAATTGTGTGACCAATCCAAAAGGAACAATATCCACATTATAGGGGTACCAGAACAAGAAGAGAGAGAAAAAGGGATAGAAAGAGTCTTTGAAGAAATAATTGCTGAAAACTTCCCCAAACTGGGGGAGGAAACAATTGAACAGACCACGGAAATACACAGAACTCCCAACAGAAAGGACCCAAGGAGGACAACACCAAGACACATAATAATTAAAATGGCAAAGATCAAGGACAAGGAAAGAGTTTTAAAGGCAGCTAGAGAGAAAAAGGTCACCTATAAAGGAAAACCCAT